TTTTCTATATACTTGTGTCTCTAAATCTCCTGTGTTGGTTCTCCTGATTAATACATCTAAAAATGGGATTTTGTTATCTAATTCTTCTTCTCTTGTGAATTTGATGTCTTCAAATATGTTGTTTATTAATTTATGAGTATATTCTAAATCACTTCTCTTAATTATTACAAATGTATCATCAACGTAACGTATCCAGATTTTCGGTTTAATTATAGGTAGAGCTATTAATTCTAATCTTCGCATAACGGCTTCAGCTATTAATCCTGATATGGGCAATCCCATTGGTGACCAGAAAGTTTAAAATCCAAGTCAATAGAAAATGGTCAATACATATGTAAAGATAGTTACCAGGAGACGCAGTTATATCACTCATGAAGAAATTTGAATCATTTCACTTTGTGCTAAATATGGCTCTGAAGATGTTGTCCAGAAGGACGACGAAATTACCGCAACCAAACCAACCAGCTCAGAGAACACTATTAATTGCGAAACAGAGTCATATGTTCAAAGGCACAAAAGAAAACCGGTTTTCTGCAGCTTGAACTGTCATTCTTATCTAAATTTAAAGAAGGGTAAAATTATGAACATCTAATTCTATCATAGCTGGTTACTTATAGATAATCAATTCAAGAATCTAATTTATCTTGAAATAACCACCAGCTGTGTAAAGCTGGGATGCAGTGAAATAAAGTAACACGAAAACACAAGCCATACCTATACCTGTCTTCACTTCTCATGCAACTGGTATTGCAAGTCAATCACAAATTACTCACTAGGCCTTCGAGAAATTCAAGCTAGATCCACTCTAAGCACTCATCTACAGAAACAAATTCCATACTATATCGTCCTAATGAAATTATTCATTGACGAAATCACCGCACATATCATAGCAGTCATTCCCTTCGAAAAACCGTTATGCGGCTTGTTAAATTCTGCATAGAACCAATCTATCAACATGCATACATGACAACATATAGTACTGCTGTTGGTCTAAACATACAAAAAATAGAAGTGTATATATGAAAACCTACATCAACTGGTCAGTACACTCATTTTTTCAGCTTCGTGCCCTTGAAAGACAAACGCAGTATGATCAAGTGCTTCCTTCATAAAGCAAGAGAAATCTGCTCGGATGAATGTCTTCATGAGGAACTTAATAATATTAAACTGTTGCTGAGTGAAAATGGTTATCCTGAAAAGTTTACTGATAAGAATATGAATCTAAAATCAAAGCAGCCTAAGGTACCAACAGTTCCTAAAAAAGCCTTATTCTTACAAATGCAGTGTCTTGGGGACAACATCAGCGAGATACTAACACAACGCCTTATTATTATTGATCCTTTGGGTTCCTAGTGGAACATAGGGCTTCAACTACACGTCTCCACTTGCTTCTCTATTCTGCTGTACTTTTCACCTGCGTCCATGTTAGTCCATACTGTTTCAACTCCTCTTCACACGATCTCCTCCATGTCACCCTTGCACTGACGTCCCACTCGCCGCTTCCCTTTCCCGTTCCACTCGAGCTATGGCCTGGCGTGCGATGTCACCCAGCGGCCTCCTCAAAGAGTGTCCCATCCATCTCCACTTCCTCCTGCACATTTGCTGAGCGATTGGTTCTTGTTTTGTTTATTCCTATAGTTTCTTGTTGGTGATTCTTCCCGGCCATCTGATCTTCAGTACAGAACGAAGACAGTTGTTGATAAAGGTCTGCAACAGGCTGTTGGAAATATTCTTTGTGACTCGCCAAGTTTCTGATCCGTATAGAAGAACTGACTGACTTGACGTTTGTATTGAAAATCCGAATCATTTTGTTGTTGATGCAGGCTGAGTGACGAAGATTTCCAGATTGGTTTCAGGTGGATGAATGTGTTTCTCGCCTTCCCGATTCTCGATTTGACATCCTCGTCCGTTCCTCGTGTAGTTGAGACAGTGCTACCTAGATAAGTGAATGAAGTAACCTCTTTCAAATCCCTCCCATTAATGGTGATTGGCGCTGGATGTTGCTGCTGCTGTTGTTGTTGTTGGTTGGTTGGTTATTTTCATAATCTCCGTCTTGTCTATGTTCACCTGGAGTCCTGTCTTCACCGGCTGCTTCTTCGACCAGTTTGTCGGTTTTCGCTTGTAAGTCTTCGATTTCGTGTGACATCAATCATAAATCATCCGCGAAATCCAAGTCTTCTGGGTTCTTCATGTCGATCCAGGATATCCCTGTCTAACACGCCTTAAGAATGCGGTAAAAAAAGCATTCTTTGCTACTGAATTACGCTGTGTCTTCAAAACCACCCCTATTTCGCGTTCGGGAGTAAAAGAGAAACTGCCTAATTTCGCCTCTTCCATGTGTATCTACCAATTTAACTGCTCCAGCGGAGCCAGTCAGATAGGCCACACAATTAGGCATGTTTCTCGTCGGATTTCAGAACATCACCCTGCGTAGTTAAGTACAGGACAAAAAAATCTATTCGTAGCGCTATTCCACCTCATTTTGTGGATACAGAACACAAGATTGATGTTAACGAGGCGGCTTCATAGTCATCTACCGTATACCAACTAATCTTAACTTCGCGTTAAGAGTTCGTTTACTAAATATTGCTGAGGCTGTTGGGATCCACGTTAAGAAGCCTAACTTATGTGTCCAAAAGAAGCTAGTTAAGACATTGTCCTTACCTCGGCCATCTAGGTTCGAATGATCCTCAATTTGTTGTGGAAATTTCTTTAGTTTTATTTGATATTCTATTTATTATTACATTTTTCTATGCTGATTATAATTTATGCATCTTTCATGAACTCTAGTTTCATTGATCTTACTTGACAAATCGATAGTATTTAAAAACACCAGTGGTGTTAATGACGATTATTCTAGATTATTCTATGTACATAAACATATGTATACATATAATTGTAGAGTCAGAAGAGGAAATTATCGAAAAGGATATTCTTTGCTTAATTAATTTGTTTTTGCAATTAAAAGTGTTCTCTGAGCTGGTTGGTTTAGTTGTGAAGCTTTCGTCGTCCTTCTGGACAACATCTTCAGCGCCATATTTAGCACAAGAGAAGAAGAATCAGATAACAAAATCCCATTTTTAGATGTCTTAATCAGGAGAACCAACACAGGAGATTTAGAAACACAAGTATATAGAAAATCAACGCACACAGATCAAATACTCAACTATACTAGCAATAACCCCATTACTCACAAACGAAACTGTGTGCAGACATTGTTTAAAAGAGTTCAAACACATTGTGGCACTCCAGAGTTGAAAAGAATGGAAGAAAAGTACCTACAAACGGTCTTCAAAAAGAATGGTTCTCCACAAAATTTCATCAAAAAGTGTTTAAAGTCGAATCAAAACACCAACAAGAAACCATCATCAAAGACCACAAGAAAATTCATTCTACCATACACGAGGAATATCTCTGAAATAACAGCTAGAATACTGAAACCGTTTGATATAGATATAGCACACAAGCCAGTAAAATCGCTTAATTCGATATTATGCAAACCGAAAGATCCAACAGAAAAAGGGGATAAAATTAATACCATTTACAAAATAAATTGTATGAACTGCAACAAACATTACATCGGCCAAAGTGGGCGTCCTCTTAGAATTAGAATCCAAGAACACAAATCAGCCGTGGAAAGACACGATATGTATTCTTTAGTATCAATGCATATAGACAATTATGGTCATCAGTTTGATTGGGATAATGTCAAAATCTTAGACAGAGGAAACACCAAAAGTGCCAGGGAATTCCTAGAAGCCTGGTACTCAAGCGAAAATGCAATTAACAAACACGTTAATATAGATGAAATATACCAACTAATAAAAAGTAAATCAGGTGACCAGAAAGTTTAAAATCCAAGTCAATAGAAAATGGTCAATACATATGTAAAGATAGTTACCAGGAGACGCAATTATATCACTCATGAAGAAATTTAAATCATTTCACTTTATGCTAAATATGGCGCTGAAGGGGGATGTTGTCCAGAAGGACGACGAAAGCTTCGCAACTAAACCAACCAGCTCAGAGAACACTATTAATTGCAAATCATCCACCTGAGCTACAAATCTTCTCTATTATTTTGTTTTTTTTAAAATAGAATTTGACAAATTCATCTTTCTCACTTTAAATTGAAGTCGAATGCATACTTATTATAAGGTTAAAGGAGGACCCTTGTATGCATTCAGTGTTATGAGCACAGTCACCATGAGGTTTGAATTAATCACTTTGGTAACAACGCATCCATTCATCCAGTATAACGTGTAAACACACATACACACACGCATACATACAATTACACAAACTGTCTACACACTTTTATCACATTATGTGCATGATAAGCATTTCATGATGAAACCTTTTGTGATATAGATGATGTGTAGCTACTACATTTTAGGTAGGTTAGTGTGCCGTAAATAGTGCCTTAGTTGTATATACCCCACTAAGACCACCAAAGATACACTTTACAGTGAGGCCTACACCTACACGCACATATACACTAAAAATTTGAATTTCTCAAGCAAAAAATACAAAATTACAATACGCCATCAGTTGACATATACAAACATTCTCAGAAAATCAATTACAGTGAGAGATTACTTAACATACCAAGTTGAGCGTCTTAAAACAAAAATAATAACCGTATAGTGTTTCAGTTTGATTCCATTACATAATGCGTGAGTGTAGAGAGTGGATGATGAATGAAAGAAGGTGAAATTAATAGGGGTGGATGGGTGGCGGTGGGAGTCGAACCTGCTGCTAGTAAATGTCAGTCTGCCAACCCCAACCTAAAGGTAACTTTTACACTTACCAATTATATGTAGATAATCAGATCAGAGAAAATTCTATATTCTGATAGTGAAGTGTCGTGAAAAAATATCTGAGAATTCGTTTATGGATGATATAGGGCATGCATATGTGTGGATGACTATGTGCTATGGATTTTCTTTTCAACGCAAATAGACCAAAGTAAAATGAAGACTTTCTTTATACAAACTTACATTGTAATGCCAATCCGGCCAGCTGAGTTGAAACTGATCTGGATACAGGAAGGCGACCATCTAAAATATCTTTGCGTATTTGTAGGAAGAATTGATATCTGGAGGAATAGAAAGAAATAAGACAAAATTTGATAAAGTCAAATATTATGTTGGATGATTTCATCTTGAGCTGACATCAGTTAGAGAACCATTGGAAAACCTGCAAGGAGTACTGCAAGACAGCTGTTTCCTCCATCATAGTTTGGGATTCTTCAGCAGTACGCACCCACCACCAGAGTTCGAACCCAGGACCTTCTGGTTACAAGGTCAGCCAGCTCATAGACCATTAAGCCAATGGGACCCCATCCAATGGCCAGTGCATGAATTCTAACTTCTACCAATTCATGACATGGCGTGACCACATCGTAATGTCTTCTTTGATAAGTTATTGTCTTGCCTTCAAGTTGCTTTACCCTACTGGTCACAGCTTCCCACTTAAATCAGAAGCATCTAGACTTATTCTAGTAGGAGGGTAAGCAAAAGGCGACTCTGGTAGGTATTAAATCAGGCAAGAACCCATCACCGAACAAATATATCAATGGATTAGGCGTGAAATCATATACCCAGTTAGCGACAGGACCCCAAATGGAATGTGATGGGTTGGATTTTGGAGGGTGAAATGAAGATCATGTGAAGAAGAAGAAGAAATGAAAGCCTGTGAACCATCATGGGGCGTGTTGAAGGAGATGGTAAGGAATTCAATGCAATCGGAATGTATCACTGAAGCCCTGTGTTCCTCCTGCAACGCAACGGGTGTATGGACTGCAAGTATAAACAGCAGTTCTTTTTAATAGAACATATACATATTGAGAAATCATCTAATGAACTCCTTTGAATTTACGTAGAACAGAATGCTTCGTGACTTGTGGTCGTCCCTTTATGCCAACATATTCAGTAAGCGGCATACCTACATAATCGCCATTTCACTATTCAATATCCCATCGTACATTTTCGCAGCATATCTCATCACAGTGATTGACCAAATGATGACATTAAACAACTTTGCACTGTCCGTATTCACACCACGACATTTTTGGTGATGTGCATCAGATAGCAGGTGGTTTGTTAAGCATTGACAGTCGTACGCCATCTGCTTTTATATGATTGCTCAAGAAAGCAGCATAGTCAACCCAAACATTCATATTCACTGTTTATATTCAGAATGAATGCATGTATGAAAAATAGTCATACAATATTATTCTGCACATCAAAGATGAAAAGCAGAATGTCAAAACTCAGTATACTCAGTATTTTTATCCAGAGAGGTTTTTATATAAGTAACCAATTAACTGTTCAGTCTAAACTGCTGACTGAAATCTGTTAATCAGTTATACATATTAGCAGAACAACGTACTACACTTAATTTAGTTGATAGAAATTACATAGTACGAAGTCCACCTTGACTTGGATTTGGTATTCATTGGCACTCGTCAGAGAAGTTCACCGGTAATCTTATGGATACCTTTTATAATTTCTCAGATATAAACCTGTATATTACTTAGTTAATAGATGAGGTTTTGATGAATTGCTTGTAAAACTTGATTATGCATATCATTTCCGACGTTTATACCACCTCTGAGGTGATGAATGATAAATCTTATATTGAAGACAATCCTCTCATTTTAGAAGTGGATTTCCGAACATCATCCTGCATTGTGGTTAAGTAAAGGACAAACAAAATCCATTCATAGTTCTATTCTGTCTCATCTCGTGGATACAGAACACAAGATTGATGTTAACAAGGCGGTTTTCAAAGTCATCAACTGTATACCAACTAATCTTAGCTTTACCTTTAGAGTTCGTCTACTACGTATTGCTACGGCTGGCTGTTGGGATCCACATCAAGAAAACTAACTTATTTATCCAAAAGAAGGTGGTTGGTTTAGATGCTGTCCTTGGCCGTCAATCTAGGTTTTAATGATGCACAATTTGTTGTGGAAATTTCCTCAAATTTGTTTGATATTCTATTCGCAATTACATTTTTATGCTTATTATAAATTGAGCGTTTTTCTTCGGGAAGTCAGTCAGCCAATGTGTCTTCTCTCGATGAAAGCAAGAATAAGAATGGGGACGTGGAGTGTCCGTACGAGACTGGAAAGGCTGCCCAAGTAGCCAAAGAAATGCGAAGATATGGCCTAGAAGTGCTGGGTATCTGCTCGAGCAGATGGAATGGATCTGGACTTTGCTTCACTTATCTAGGAAGCATCGTTTCAACTACAGGGGGAACGGATGACGATGTCAAAGTCAGAATCGGAAAGGCAAAATACACCTTCATCAACCTAAAATGAGTTTAGAAATCTTCTGCTCTCTCTCTCTTAGCCAGAATGAAGAACGAGATTTGGATTTTCAACACAAATGTGAAGTCAGTAAGTTTTTCTATACGGATCTGAAACTTGCACTGTGTGTCACTAGCAGGATTTCCAACAAGTTACAGACTTTTATCGGCAGCTGCTTTCGATGGCTCCATACTAAAGATCAAATGGCCAGCCGGCCAGAAAGAATTAGCACCAAGAAACTCTGGCTAGCAACAAAGCAACCAAGAGCCAACCGCTCAACAAATATGTAAGAGAATATGGAGATGGATCGGGCATACATTGAGGAAACCGTCAAATGAAATCGCCAGCAATGCAGACCATCACTCGAGTGGAACCCCCACTGTAAGCGACGAATGGGTCGTTCTAGGGTGACATGGAGGAGGTCGTGTGAGGAAGAGATAAGAGATTATGGCCAATCGTGGACCCAGCTGAAGAGGATAGCAGAAAATAGAACAAATTGAAGATGTGTTGTTGAAGCCCTATGTTCCTTTCGGGACCCAAGGGAACAATAATAATAACTTCCAGTATATTGATTTCAGTATGCGTTTACAAAACATTACTTAAGACAACTAAAAATAAAAACGTCATCTTATATGAACTAAGTGATAACTTGATAGATGTTTTTTCGAATCCTAAGCATTATTTAAAAGCTGTTTCCTCCTAGGCATGTATTTCTCAGAAGAGTGCACCAGTGACCTAAGAAAGAACTTTCAGTTATAGATGTCAGTATGTTAATCACTGAGATAATGAATCAAAATATAGTGTTTCATAATTTCTAAATTCTATTCATCGGCTGATTTCATTTAATAATATCGCCCCCAGTGAGTGTCTGTACTCAAATCCAACTGATTGAACGATACCAATTGTAACTTTTTATCAGTATGCGAAGCGATGAACAATGGACTGAAATTAAGCTGTTACAGTTTGACTTATTTCAAAGTACATTTTGTCAATAACCTTCCCAAGCTAGAACAAATCAGCTTCTTTGGTAGAGTGACGGCAGTTAAAGATCTTTGATAAATCCTCGATAGAGTCATGAACATACACTATTTATAAACGGTCTAATGCTAATCTTAGTTTCCAGTTGTCCTTCAAGTTTATGTTAATTCGCCACAAAGTCAATTTGGAAAGAGCAGTACAACTGACGAATCGAATATTCCGCATTCACTTTTACCGTATTTTAAGAAACTTAGAGGATTCAACAAGAAGTATTACCATATTGTCGCTTAGATGCCTTTAAAACAAACTGTACAGTACCTATGAAAGGCTAATGATAAGTCAGTTGCGTCGATGGTACAGCGGTTAGGACTTTCACCGACCATGCACATGACCCGAGGTTCGATCCCCCGCCGACGCACACCTGATATCTATGGTCAGCCAGCTAAATTTGGGGAATCGATATCACATGCTGAAAATTTCATACTTGTACCGAAATTATTGTGCGAAATCAAGGTATAATAAAATTAATTAAAATTAATTAAATTACAAGCATGGAAATGAATTGATCGGAATTTACTAAGTGCTAAAGTTGCCCAATAGTTAGACTGACACACAAATAATCCATTTTACTCATCAACACCAATCAGCTGTCTAGGATAAAGAAAAAATTGAGAGTTTTTTCGTGATTGCTAGGGTCATATCAGTCGGCACGATTCAAATTCATATTATTCATTTGAGAAAAGAGGTGACACGATTGAGCTTCTTCACCCATTCCTACTTCCCTATATGACGACAATTACGTAGGAACAAAGTTAATCACACAGTTGACATTCAAGTATTGCTTTGTAGGGATTTGACTGATTGGTTACAGGATTTAATCATGAGCTGACGTCGGTTAGAGAAACATTGGAAAACCTGGGAGAACTGGACAGCTGTTTCGTTCTAGTTTTTGACTCTCCAAGCAGTACACACCCACCACAGGGATTCGAACCCAGGTAGGTAGTTAACTGGGGTTCTAGTGGGAAATCGTGACCCAAAAGGGTGCAGAAGGTCGACTGCGGCGACAAATACCTGTCGAAGACAGTGCCTAGTGGTCACGCTATGTCGTGAATTCGCAGAAGTTGGAATTCATGCACTGGCCATTGGATCGGGACCCGGGGGCTTAATGGTCTACGAGTTTGGTGGCCTTGTAACCAGTAGGTCTTGGGTTCGAACTGCTGAAGAGTCCCTGTTTGGGACGTGACAGCTATCTGACAATACTCCCAGGTTTTCTAATGTTTCTCTGACCGATGTCAGCTCATGATGAAATCCTGTAACCAGACAGTTGATGATCAATGTCCGTTTTTATAACCTACTAATGTCAACATACAGAGTATACATATACCTATATATTTACCCGAACACTGACTTTCTGCATCACACAAAGTCTGTTTTTTCTTCAGAACAACTAATAATCAATCCATGCCAAATGCTTCAAAAATTAAACAGAAAAATGATAATAACACAAAGTGCTAAGCAAAAGAACAATCGGTCGATAAAGCTTTAATTTAAACTCAAGTCTAAGAGAATACTAAATATAGCCTGACTAACAGAGTCATAGAAAAGGTCAACTCCTGGTATTAAATGAATCAGTATTACCATATTTAACTTTGATACTTCATGGCAGTTGTTGACTTTTTTCTTAGTCAGAGACACATGTAAACAGTGATGATATAAGCATAATTTATTCCTCCTACATTAAATGACAGTAGTCCTTTTTGTATGGAAGATTTTACCTTGTTTATGATTAAAGGTATTGTGAGGTA